CTACTGAAGCTGGATTTTTCACCCATGTTCCAATGCACTTAGTACATCCCATAAGTGCTGAAGGCAGAAATGCATTCTGGTTTGTTGTGTTACCATACAGCACAACAATTCACATTAACATCAATTAATTGTGTTAAACTAATGGTATTTTGCATGTTTGGTGATTCAATTAGTTGCAAATGTACATATAAATTTGGTAATCAATCCATTTCATCTTAAATATTTGAGCAACAAAAGTGAAATTAGTGTAAGCATCATAGTCAAAATAATTGGTCAAAATTCTTGTAAAAATATTTTTTACTGATGTTGAATGGCCCAAGTTCACTTAATATAACTACTGTACCAAACTACAGCAATGTCAACAAAGTAAAAGGATGTCCAAAAGCCATCATATAAGCTTGCCAAATTAAATATTTTAAACTTACAGCTGAACTGTTGGTCGGCTAAGTTGGCTAAGACCCTGATTTCGGCATCAAATGGATTGATAAGGGGAACTCATCAGTGGGTGCACCAATACATAATAGCTGAAATAACTAGATCATAATCAGTCTTTTCTGAGAGGGATTTTGTACTTTCATATGTATTTCCATTCTTATAGACAAGCCATTTCCTTCTTTTCATTGCAGGCAGTAACAATTAAGAATTTATAATCTTTTGTGTATACTACATATTCACCCATAAGCAAAACCATGTACAAACAAGGAGGTTTATCGGGTGGAAACAATAACTGTAAATATGTATAAAAATTTATATGATTTATAGAAAGTTAATTACATATATGTACTGTATATATTATTATAGTGCATTAAATAATTAGATAATGTATACTCTTGTCAGATTCAAATTTATCTTCAAATATGTATTAATAAATATAAAAAAATAAATCATAACTATGGCAGGCAAGAACTAGTATATTTTCCCGGCTGCGATACAAGAAAAAAATATGATTATACATACTCTTTTAATGTCTTTCCACACATGTTTTATTCCACAGATATCAAATGACATTATGAAAACCTTCACATTCATTTGTTAATTGTGTAAGCTTTGATAATTTTACTTATTCCTTTGTTTAAGATCGATTTAAGTCGTTTTCAGAACTGCACAAAACACCACGCGCTCGTTGTTTCCGCCATCTTTGTTTTCACCGTCGTTGTCAATTATTTACCGACCAAAAATAAATTGGTTAAATATTTATTTGCCAACCAATTATTAATTGATTGAAAATAATCTTAATCATATGAAATTGGTTGTATTAACCAAAATAACAAGAGTTAAAGCAACCAAATATTTTGACCAAAAAAACAATGTTAAAATAACCAATTGGAATTGGTAGCCAAAAGAGAAATTGGTTATTTTAACATTCAATTTTTACAGTGTAGTGCAGCAAAAAACAAACGCACATAAATCGCACTTGTGCATAACTATAATCTTTTTTATTGTGTCACATGTTTCACACCATGTCATGTACGGCTAAAATCGCAGACAATATTTTTAAGAATTCATTTTGTTCCCCAATATTTAGAAAGCCATACAGTAAGTCACTGAGCATGTAACATCCCACGGTGCGCAAATACATTTCCTGTCTCCACAAGCTGCATGTAAACATGATTAAAAGACAATATTCGAATGTTCGTTCAAAATCAATAATTGGCACAATATGCCTTGACATGGTTCCAAAACCAGAGCAGATAAGACTTAATTCACTGTGCCGTGACTAGGACTTCGTAAGTCAAACATCCGTTTTACAAGTTTGCTACGAAATGCATAAACAACATCCTTGACTTTGACGCCGAAGTTCATTAATAAGACACTTTGCGGTGACATGTCGACCACAATCCGTTAAAATTTACTTAATATCTGATATAAGTATGTTATTAAATTAATGTAGATTGGGGTTAATGCAGCTATATAAGATATATATAATTTGGTAGCGTTCACACGTTTTCGTACGGCACTTACCTGAATAGAAACGCATGTCTATTGAGCGGAATCCAGTGTTTTCTCCCGAATTGGCAAAGAAATTGGAAACGTGATAAATTTAATTTAAACTGCCAAGCACAATCATAAAAAAGAAATTAAACATTCCCACCATACCTGACAGAATTAAATCTTAAAGTACGCAGGATCTCTCAATAATTTGGCCTGCTTCCACTATTGTGTGCCAAGAAAACCTGACGATTGTTTAATCGGAAAAGCAAACAGCCTCGAGCGGCATTCCTTTGTCCTCTCACTATACTAATAAAGATATTCTGGTTATGTCTCTTGGCTTTCTTCCGTTTATCCTCACATGAAACTATCATTGTGTGATCAGTTTTTGCATTTCTTATTGCTCTTATGAGGTCGATTTACTGAGCCTGACGGCTCTTTAAGGCAGACATGTGTACAAGTTATATGTTTCAGGTTAAGCATGTCGAAGTGCTACTCAACTGAAATAAAAAATTTATCATTTTTATGCTGCATGTAATTTTTTTATTATTCTAATAGATTACGCAAAATAACTTTAAAATTGAAAGCCTTGTCTTAATCAATACTGTCATGGTTGGGATATCATGACATTAGATGAATTAAGATGGGCGCACACGCCAGTACGAGCAGGGCCATCAAGAGAAAGGGACGCATAACTAGGAGGTGGTGAACGTTAACAGTGGGAACTTGTCTGGGCCAGAAAAAATTGTATTTTTAAGTGTCGGGGTTTGATTTGTGTGTGAAAATTTGTATTTTTAAGTGTCGGGGTTGGGTTTGATTTGTCGGGGTTTGATTTTTAAGTGTCGGGGTTTAATTAACTAAGTTATTCTTCCCATTTTTGCTTATATTGTAGACAGAAAGGGACCTTTACTGGGAGGACTGAACAATATGAATCACTAGACAGGCGAAAACAGGGGATTGGGGGACAAGTCCCCCCAAGTCTATGGTACTAAAAGAGGCCCTGACTACGATTTTACTATGTCGACTATGATATGATGTCGCTATAGATGAGTGCAATTTAGTTTTCTTCTATTCAACTGCTAGTTCTCCCGCCAATTTTTATATGTAGATGCATGCCAAGAGCGCGGAAACACAAGAACATTAAATTTCCCATCTCTGCATTGGGTTCGTTAAATACCATACATCTATATAAAGAAATGTTACGTTTCGTTTCAGAATGAGCCAAACATTACATTATATTGAATTAAATCATTTTTGGGATTACCCAAGCTCCGTGCTCCTCTAAGGTTTCCACTGGTTAAATGCGAGCGAGAAACGCATGCACGCATTGAAGTTAATTTCTAATAAGAGAAATGCTGTACCAAAAGACAGTAGAAATAAAGCCAATGGTGGAAATAAGGCTATACTGTATAGGTAATATAGCTAGATCATTTGATTCTTTCTGCCTTTTCGACGACTGGCTCGAGGCTTTCCCAGATTGTTTATTGTATACCAAGACTCTGATATACCACTATATATATGCTATTGTCGGGAACATTTTTTGTGGTAATTTATATTCATTTCTGTCGTGTGCGAGAGGCGTTTCCGCCCTTTCCGAATTGATGTAAAAACTAAGCAATTCGGGCTTCACTTGAATGGGTAAAAATGTCGTAAAAATCACATATTTTTTGCACTGTATGGTCATAGTCAGTAGGGTTCCCAGCTAGCACATAACGTTATTACAACGTTGGTAAAAGGTTGTTGCAAAGTTAGATCTAACTTAACTTTCACACGACGTTCACACAACATTACTTTTCTATTCGGAATAAGAGCACGTGGTGTAAACGTTGGTTTAACGTTGAAATTTCACGTTCCAGGATGTCATGCGACACCTTCTTAGCAATGTTAGATTTCAACGTTGTAGCAACGTTAATGTGTAACGTTTGGACGTGACATCAAAACAACGTCGTAGACAACGTCGTCCTGACGTTAAGATTTGATATTTTCGCAAAGTTCCAGGATGTCATACGATATCTTCAAAGCAATGTTAGATTTTAACGTTGTAGCAACGTTAATGTGTAACGTTTGGATATGACATCAAAACAACGTCGTAAACAACGTCGTCTTGACGTTAAGATTTGATATTTTCGCAACGTTCTAAAAAAATTAAACGTATGTCTTCTATTATTGAACCTGTCAGTTAAACTATATAGGTATAAAACCGCATCAGACCATGTGACTTCTTATGCCTATTCAGCAGAAATCGCGAGGAACGTCGCCTTGGTTAGTTCTTACTGGAAATTTTGTCCTGAAAGCGTTTTATCCAACTGATTTTAAGCCACACAGTAGGCCTTTGTATTTGGCAGCTTATCAACAACTCGCCAAATATGGTAATTCTGACCATATATACGTAAAGTGTTTGCGCCGCGGGCAAATTGAAAAGATTACACCATTCCCTTGTAGAACCAAACACTATTTAATTGCTATTTAATTCCTATTTTATTGGGCTATTTAATTCCTATTTGTCAAAGTATTTATTTCCTATTTTTACTATTATTTTTTTTTCGAGGTTTTTCCTATTTAAATTGGGGTAGAAAAGCTATTTTTTTCCTATCCAAGTGGAACCATATTTTTTTCCTATTCATGATATATTTCTAAACAAATACTTAATTGATGTACTCGAATAGAAATTAAATAGGTTTCAAATATGATAAAAATAGAACTATTTAAGGAAATTATTAAAAATATATAGTTTCGACATAGTTAATAAATATGTATGAAATAGTTAAAACATAGTGACAATATAGGTATAAAATATGTAATAAATAGTTGAAATGAGTTTCAACTAAGTTTAAAATAGTCAATAAATAGTTGAAAAATAAGGATATTATAGTTTAAAAATAGATAATAAATAGTTAAAAAATAATAATATAGTTTAAAAATAGATAATAAATAGTTCAAAAATAGTGATATTATAGTTTAAACATAGATAATAAATAGCTCAAAAATAGTGATAATATAGTGATAATATAGTTTAAAAATAGATAATAAATAGTTCAAAAATAGTGATAATATAGTTTAAAAATAGATAATACATAGTTCAAAAATAGTGATAATATAGTTTAAAAATAGATAATAAATATTTAGTTAAAATACATCCCAGCTTGTTAAAAATAGATAATAAATAGTGGATATAATATTGCCCAAATAGATTAAAAATAGTTAAAAAATAGTAATAACATATTAAACATATAGTTAAAATATGTCCTGTTAATGCAGTTAAAATAGTTATTAAATATAGTGTATACAAATACATATAGCCTATAAATATTTTTAAAATATATTATAAATACCAGTAGTTAAAACATAGATAATAAAAAGTTAAAACATATAATGTAAATAGTCTTTAAATAAAATATAATTAGTAAAAAAAATTGAGAACAAGTGTAGAAGTTCTGAAACATCAGAGGCTATTACAGACCTTACTTTAGTATTTACCGTCTGTAAATTCCAGACAATTTTACTTATCAGTAGGTAGAGGTCTGTCAATAAATGAGTTAAAAATCTGTAGTTAGCAGTCTCTTTGGTAGCCAAAGAGTTAAGTATATACATACGGTAACTTGGCTGGGGACAGGGCAGAAAAAAAGCAAGAACATCATGTAACATCAAGAATAGGGCGAAGCTCAGCTGCACCTAGTTCAGGCCTCTTTACAGGTTAGAAAAAAACATTTATATATTTGAATAATACCCTGAATCTAGCTGGATATTTTTCAACTATCCAACATATACCCTGTATGGAGCTGCATAGCAAAAACATTCTATCTTGCACACCCTACAAAGAACTTCATTCTTCAAGTAAGTAAGGTAAGAGCAAATTGCTCCTTTATAGGTGTTAATATTTAGGTGAGATATGGGCGAGCATGCCAAAGTCGGTAAGTAAAATTGTCTAGCATGAAATGTCAGAGTTAAATAATAATATCAAAGTACTTAAGTAGGAAGTGTTTGATGTCAACATGAAACATGGGGAGAGTCTAGTACGCTAGCTAGACACTTCCCTTGATGAATAAAATTGTCCGGCATTAGGCAAGATAACATTTAATAACAAAGTGCTGAATATTGGGCTCATTGGAGTGAAATGGGTAATTCCAAAAACAATCAAACCCTTGCCGGGGTGTCTCTAAAATATATAAAATGTAGCCCAAAGGTTGTTACATATATTATTAAGCAGAACATGTGGTGTATTAACTAAATGTATTCATAAGTTTGAACAAGCAAACTAAGGACTTTAACTGTTTTCAGTTAGGGACACATCTATAATCAAGTTGCCAAATATGACAACAACACATCAAATTGATATTTTTATCTATCCTAAACTCACCCACCTATATATGAATAAATATTGGAAACTAATGAAAGTACCAGTTAATTTGAAACCAGTCAATAAATTTTCTCAATCCATGTTTAGCTGGGACATGTCTGGGTAGGCATATGAGAATTGAGTAGATGCCATCATGTCAAGCTATATTATTTTATACAACAAACACTGGAATCTGGCAATCTGTCATATACACTATAGTATACACAAAGATCAAAGTATACTATTTGGCATTACAATAAACATAATTTATAAATATAAAGGCTGAGTCAAATGTAAGCCATTCTATAAAACTAATGTTGTTTTAATTCAAATATTGTCGCAGCAAATTGAAATTTTAAGCCGGAACATGTGCTCAAAATTCACGAATGAAGATAGTAAATATTTCCTTTCAAAATTGCTCTATTTATATATAAAACATAACAAAAATTCTTACCTGGATGTTTCCCAGTCATCCCTGATCTTTTGTCTTTACAATAAGTAACAATTTCGCTCAATAAAAGCTCTGTATTTGAGCCATTTCGAGCGGAATGTTTAAAACAAAAAAAAATTAAAATATGGCCATATTGTCACAGAATAGGAAGTTATACCAGAAGCGTAACTCTAGTCGTTTCCCTTATTGTTTGACGTCCACGAAAATTTTTAACTCGCTCACGTCAGGCCACGCCATCCTGGCTAGTACAGCCGGAAGTTTTTATCAGGATTTGGTAGGTACAAAGTGCCGGTTGTACGAGCCAGGATGGCGTGATTGATGACGAATCGCTTGTAAAAACGCGGACAAATATTTGCTCGAGTTACGCTTCTGGTATAACTTCCTATTCTGTGATATTGTTGTGAATTGTGACGCTATCCCAGAAAGCTTTGCGCGCGTTGTAAGAAAATTAGGCACCAGTCTGTCAAACTGCGCTCGTCGTAAGAATATTTGGTGGTATTCATGGCATGGTGTTTTGTCAAAAATGCTGTTTTGTCAAGAGACAAAATACCTACCTCCACAAAGTCCACAAAGACTATAAATATTTTTGTAAATATAATTTCAATGAACTGATGAAAAATTTAAAAATAACTAACTCAAACTGGGAAATTTTGACCAGTTAAATAAATACATTTACCCTTTCTAAATTCTCACAACTTTCTATTTGAATAGGAAATAAATAGCTTTTAAGATGTAATCAGTATTTTGCTATTTCAGTGCCTTTTTTAACTATATATCTGGGGGGAAAGAATCCCTCCCCAGTAAAGCCATTTCTGCCCCAGAAGTGCGAAGCAGAATTGCTCATGATTGCTGTCAGAATCGCAGTTGATTTACTTGATAATGAGATTATGCCCTTCCATAGCCTCCTCCACAGCTATCTTGTGTGTAATTCATATTGTTCTTCACCGAGTATTTCATAATAGCGATAGATTTCATGCAAACAATCCGATAAAATGCTGGTTCCAAGAAGAATAGATTTAGTTTAGATTTTTTACTGTTAAATACATGTATTCATCGTCATAGCACGAATGTTTCTTCTCACTGAGATTTATTCTGTATCGTATGAAAAAGCAACGCAATTTTGAGAAGGCGGAAATGGTGTCTCATAGAACCGAAAATGATTTAAATGCAACATTTCTGATCAAAATCACATAGGAATCCCCCCCCCCAGCATCACAGAGAGGAACTATAAGGTGACACTTATTTAATTCCGGGTAGAAATGTCTGGAAAAATTCATGTCTTCGATGTACTTTATAATCTTCGGAACTCTTCGGAATTTCACTCCCAAAATGCTTGAAATCGCTTGCAATTCAAGGACCCTAGATTTGAAAATTTCCCCGGGGGTGCATGCCCCCGGACCCTCCTAGACTGTTCGAACCCCCCCCCAAAAAAAAAAAAAAAATTAAGGTCTGGCTACGCCACTGGTTATAGCTGTACGATTATAGCTACAAAGGGTTGAAGTTATTGTTTATATAGGAGAAGTTAATAAATTCAAGTTTTACAAAATCTCTCTTCAGACTGGCGTGTTCGCCAAACTTCGATGGGTCATATTTTTCGTTCTGCCTTTTTTCCTGTTTTGCCCCCCCCCCCTCCCCTGGTAAAAATTTCTTAAAAAAGGCACTGTGCTATTTATTAGCTATTTTAACAATAGCTCTAAAAATAAAAGTAAACATAGTGTAAAAATAGCTATTTAATAGCCATTTTGACCAAAATTCGCTACAACTGTCTATGAATAGGAATTAAATAGCTATTTAAGATCTACTTATTTTGCTATTTAATAACTATTCTAGGAATGGCTCTAAAAATTAAAAAATAAAAGAAAACATAGTTTAAAAATAGCTATTTAATAACTATTTGGAACAAAGTTCGCCACAACTTTCTATGAATAGGAATTAAATAGCTATTTAAGATCTATTTATTTTCCTATTTAATAACTATTTTAACAATACTCAATAATATCTCCAAAAATAAAAGCAAACATAGTTTAAAAATAGCTATTTTATAGCTATTTTGAACAAAGTTCGCCACAATTTTCTATGAATAGGAATCAAATAGCTATTTAAGACCTATTTATTTTGCTATTTAATAACTATGTTAAGAATGGCTCCAAAGAAGATATGCAAAAATAGTTTAAAAATAGCTATTTAAACTATTCTAACTGACTCGTTTGTCATCAATAGGAATTAAATAGCTATTTAAAAGCTATTTTATAGTGAGATTCCGTCAATTACTCTTTCAAATAGGATTTGAATATCTATTTCAAAGCTATTTTTTTGAAAAATATATATAACCTATATTTTAAATAGGGAGTAAATAGTCATATACTATTTTATGAAATTTGATAAATAGTAATAAAATAGACATATTTTTGAAAAAATACGGAAAAAATAGGGCTAAATAGAGAAAAAATAGGTATAAAATAGGTTATAAATATGTCGGATTCTACAAGGGTTGTTCTTGGCTTGCGACGCAACTGAAATGTATGCTGAGTCTGTAATCTCATCGAAGCTGCTGTATATTTCAGAAGAACTCGCTCGTCTGTTTTGTTTACGATGTAAGTATATATATTGTATCTGTAACATTTGAAACTTCCATGTGTCTATCAGTCTCATGTACGGAAAAAAGGCGAACAAAGTATATTTATTTTGATATGTGTCCGCATGTTTGTTTGACGCCATATTAATTTACATTTTACAGCGCCTCTCTTGAATCGAAGATATATTTCAGGAGTACTCGTTCATTTGTCAATGAAATCCAAGAATGACTAATTAGTATACTGTATATATTAAATATTGAACTGCCTGTGCCAGTGTAGGTGGGGATGCAACTACCTGAAACTACATAAACGAGAACTAGAAGAATTGTGACGTTTCGAAATGTTCCTTATATTGTTCAGGTAATTCTGTAATTTAAACTACAGACTGTTATTCAAGCACAGTAAGTCAGTATTACGTACGTCTATTAAGGTAATAAAATGCGGCCTAGAAAAAGTTCTGTCGCACAAGATTGTTCATGTAGTTACATCCCTACAAACGAAAGCTTGTTCTGTATACTGAATTAAATATTATTGTCAATATTCATCCAAACTATAAATTGGATCAGTAATTTTAGCCTATATTATTTGTAAATGAAGCTCTTTCCTTAAATAAAATGATTAAATCAAAGACTTTAGTCAATTGTTCTAACGTTGATCCTAACGTTGTCACAACGTTCCTGCGAGTTCACAAAATAACGTTACTACAACGTTAATTTTCAACGTTTTCTGGACGTTAATCAAACGTTGTGAGAACGTTGAACCAACGTCGTGTTCTAACGTTAATCAAACGTTGTAAGAACGTTGAACCAACGTCGTGTTCTAACGTTAATCCTGACGTTGTCACCACGTTCCTGCGAGTTCACAAAATAACGTTACTACAACTTATAATACCAACGTTATCTCCACGTTCGGCGAACGTTCGTACAACGTTGGCACAACGTAATTGTGCTAGCTGGGTTAGAATTTGTTTCATATATATTAATATTATTATAAGAAGATATGTAAATTTCTTTCATAAACCTGTGAAAACTGATGACGCCGAGTGTATAATTAAATTATTTATTTCGTAGGCTGTGGTCAGGAACAGTCTGTATAAATGTTTCATATTTCGAGATCTATGACAAAGGCATATTATTAATCTTGACCGAGAACATTTGCTGGCTTTGAGATTAAAAAAATATAAATATATATTGGTTGACTGAGCGAGAAGTAAGACTGTAGATTTAGTCGAGTTCTTATTTCGATTGCCCGTTCCATATAGAAACGAAAAGGAACGAGACGAGTATCCTATGCTGTTCTAAACAAAAATTGTTGTATTAAAGTAATGAAAAACCGTTTTCCCCGTGTTTTCACACAAATCTTGGCTTTTGCGTTCGTTTATACCCACCAATACTTTCTTGTCACCCAAACACCTATACGTGCATGTATTTCTATACAACTGTATATTATAGAAATATACATTTAGAACACGCCGTAAGATCTTTGCTATTCTTAGATATAAATGGGTGTGCCACTAACAAAAAAAATACAACATTACATACAGAATATAACAGCGTTTATTCTAAATTTTAAAAACAATATGCATTACACGATCTCATGTTATTTTCCATGATAAAGCAGACTACTTTTCTATTTGAAAACGTTACAAGCAACTTTAGGTAGTAAATGAAAAACAAAACTTGTTTGACAAAAGCCAAGAAATGGTGTTCCTGGTGTTCTGTGAAAAACAAAACAAAATAAAACAAATTAAATTAAAATACCTACGAGCAACTACGGCATAAGCATAACATGCACTAACAATTCTAGCTAAAAGTTTATTTCTTGCATCGAATACACGGTCATATGAATAACTTGGCACATCGACAAACAACGACGACCAACACCTCGCAATGGCGTTCAGTATGTATAAGTAAAAAGTTCAAACATTTTGATGAAATAATTTAGATATATACCATTGTACAGAGAAAAAAAGGATGATTAAATTAATGCAGTTGTGCTTACCTGCAAGAATAGCCAGGGCCCAGGTGACATTGGCCATTTTCAAGATGACACAGCCTGTTAGTAAAGGACTGACCTATTTCAAAGCCAGAAATACAATCATCATTTGGACCAGGTATTCCATGTACTGCTGCCACCATGAACACGACAAGAAGAACAAAACAATACTTCATAGCTGCAGGAACTAATTGGATCTACATACATTGAGAAAACAATTAGTCAATACTGGCATATGGAAATTATTTTCCTCAGTGAAATCCCTTAGTCTGTTTGGCAGTCTAGCACTTGAAAAGCATATAATTATTGGCACTACCTGAAATGGCACGGTCTGTTCAATATTACAATTATAACGTAGGTTAATTAAAGTAATCTGGTGCCTGCTATAGTGGCCTATACTCTATATAGTGGCCCAAGAACATTTTGCAGCCACCCGCACGAAGCAAATGTTGATCAGTAGTCTTAGTTATAAATAACAGGAGATTTTTCAAGAAAATAATGTAAAGATCATAGGAATATAACATGCAAAAATCAGATGTGTAACTTTCTAGATTATAAAATTTCATCTTACCTTGATGTTGAATATATGATTTCAGTTAATATTACGACACTGCTCCGTGAAAATTCGCTTTGGAAATGAAGTAAGGTTTTCATTTGCCTACATTTAAGATGGAATGAATTAATGATGGGAGTATTTTAACATACGTAAGAGTGACGCTGTCAAATACGTCATACCACGTGCAAGCTTTTATACTTAGTGTTTATATAGTGTTGAAATGCAGTTAAAACTTAACGAACATTACAAATTGCACTACTGCATGCACAACTAATTTTTCTCTAAAGTTTTTCAAGTTTCACATAATTAATGTCATGTATATCTCAAAGACAACATTTTAGATAATATTTCTCCCAATACCTATATAAGTCGCAATCCTTGTAATATCACACATGCAGTGCGCCGCCACATTTACATTTCCTGTCTATACACAAAAATGTCTTGTAAACGATATTGTAGGACAATATCGAACATTCGTTCAAGGTCTTTAAAGACAATATAAATCTTAAGATCGAATTTTTTCATTTTGTAATTCTATTATAGGCTAATATAGCTTTTACACCAGTTTTGAAATATAATTATTAAACAATTCGTTAACTCGTGCAATGATTTAAGAAAGAAAATTAGGCTAACCACTAGTCACGTATTCACCAAAGCAGTAAATCAAGATTTGGCATTTGAAATTGACGTTTGGCGTATAAATTTCATACTTGAACTACTACGAGGGCTTGTGTACGTATTTAAACTAGGTCTAGGACGCGTATTTAAAAATATGTATTTACGATACATTAAATCTTAAGTATACGTTATAGACTCTAGCTAATGATCATAGTGTAAAAGCAAGGATGTTGTGTACCCCATTTACGTCAATGACAAGTAACTATTTAAATACATATTTATATACGACACATCAAATCTGGCATGCGGTTACGTTATAGACTCTAACTCGAGTTCTCGTAGTTTAAATTAAATCTCAATGTATGCAATATCCTTCAACAATTTGACGTGCTGCCGCTATTGAATTGTGGGACGAAAAAAACTTGACAAACAAAACGAAAAGCGGAGATCATAGCCCTTTCAGTGATTTGTTTTCCATTCCCACTAATAAACAAAAGAGCGGATTAGCTGAAGTATGCGGAAGTCAACTGGCAGTGTCTATCGAATATATAGGAACCTGCAGTTTCCATTTGCGGAACAGTATATCAATTACAAATATGGATGCCCTTAGCTCCTTACCAGATCTATTGGAATAACAATATAAACCGTCAAAGCAGACCGTAAATTCTGCAACATGAGCTTCACCTTTGGATTTACTATATGAGTAAATTCTTAAACACGTCCGAATTTATCATTATGATAAATTCGCGGCACATTTTGAATTTATCAATAGAGTTAATCATAAAACCACAATCATTGCACAAGGTTTCTTGTTATAAATGTAATGCCACTTTTCATGTTTTTTAAAAAAATAGTTTTTAAAAAATTTTAAAAAGTTTTAAAAGAGTTTTGAAAAGCAAGAAAAGTTTAAAAAGTTGGATTTTTAAAAAAGTTAAAAAAATTTAAAAAGTTAAAAAAATGAGGGTTAGGGGTTGTTAGTGGTTAGGGGTTAGGGTTAGGGGTATAGTGGTTAGGGTTGGTGTTGGGGTTAGGGTTAGTGTTAGGTGCCGCGAATTTATTATTATGATAAATTCAAAATTTACCGCGAATTTATTATTATGATAAATTCAAAAATTGCCGCGAATTTATCATAATGATAAATTCGGACGTGTTTAAGAATTTACTCATATAGTAAATTCAAAGGTGGAGCTCATGCTGAAATTCTCTTTGTATAGTTACGGCTATATAACATTTAATATAATGTGGAACAGTCTATTTAATTCATGCATGCATGAATTAATGTAGATCGACGCTTTGCACGTAATTTTGGTTGGGGATTTGAAGGTAATGTGGAACTTTCCAACAATGGCGGAAATCTCGGTGGGGCGGGGGGCGGCCTCCCCCCTCCCCCACCTTCGTGGAAAATGTCGAATTTTCTGAAATTTTGACCTATAAAAGGGCTAAAAACTGCCTTTTCGAGATACATACAAAGCATCGATCTACATTCAAAAATAATTATAACGAGATTTGATGGTCTGCCTTGGAAGTTGACAAAAACTGTACTATTGTGGCTATACTATTACTCCTATATATGGGTCCAGTAAGACACTCACATAATTAATATATAAACATCGTGTTCGTGATTTCTGTGCATGTTGGTGTTATGTATTCAGGTGGATATGATGTTTGTGATGTTACTCTGAGTATGCAACCACACCGAGCAAGCTGAAAAATTTGCCTGACCACAGTGGGAATCGAACCCGCGCGCGACCGTTGGAATACTAGTCCAATACTCTACAAACTGAGCCTCGAGGTTAAGTCGGAAATCACACAGAAATCATCATATCTTAGAATACATTGATATCGCAGGAACTAGACTCAGTTCCGAAATTTCACCAACTCGAACCAATTGACCTCGTAGCTCAGTTGGCAAAGCATTGGACTAGTATTCCAAAGGTCTCGGGTTCGAATCCCAGCTTGTCAGGCAAAGTTTTCAGCCTCCCCAGTGTGGATGCACACTCAGAGTAACATCACAAACAACATTGTGTTCGCATTTGATAGACATGCACTGCTGGTTGTTTTTTCGCGTTGTCTATACTGCATGTTAAATCAGCAGCGACAAACATGTAATGCTAATTTTCCAATCGGTTGCCAATGGCGGCATGCCAAGTTCGTGAGAGATTTTGCATATTTTAGGTTTTGATTGTTGTAAGTACGTATAACACAACAACATCCTTAACTTTTTACGCTAAAGATTATTATGACACTTTTTCCACTCATGCGGAATCAATAAGTATGTTTAGGAACAAAAATGTTTAAAATAAATTCTATTCTGCATGAAAGTTATAATTAATACGTGACAGTTTCCGTACGGTAGTTACAGCCCTGCCTCGTCCCCAGGCGCTAATAAAAAAATTTCATGCGAGTTACTATATGAAAGGTTTACATGAAGTAGCGCATCGCGACGAACAAGCGCAGGGATTTATGGGCTTGAGGCATCGAAAATTGAGGAGCGCCTGGGAGATTTTGTGCCGTTTCTTGCAAAATTCGTCTGTTTCTTGCAAAATTTGTCTGTTTCTTGCAAATCATGGTTTTTCGACAGTTTTGGGACTTTTTTAGCCATTTTTTTTAGGAAACAACATTTCAAATTGTGATTACAGTCAGATGAGATTTGGTATCATTTAACGCTTTAAATGATTCCGAGATGTCAACATTTGAAAAGTTCAACTGGGCTGTAGAAGCCGGTTTATATAATAAATTTACAAGGTATGGAAAAATGACAATGAATTTTTATCACAATGAACAATTTATTTTAAAAATATACAGCTACAAGGCGTTTTTAAACAAAGGAGCGATGAAACTTTATTTTGAATTGCATTTGCAAGATTCGTCCCAGGATTTCAGTTACGAGCTTATTTACATGCTGTACAGTATGTTTGATTTTCACGATGCAAACGATCGAGAATATTTTGAATAATTCAGATAAGGATAGCTTTATTTCTTTCTGGTGATATACATGAAGGGATTTATATTTAGATCTGCAGTTGTTTACTTGTATGTTCGACAGCTATTATACAAGATCGGCCAGGCGCTAACCAGAACGCTCATATCCCACTCCCCTTTGCGCGCCTATTATGTGACACACTATTTCATGTAAACCTTTCATATAGTGACTCGCATGAAATTTTTTATTAGCGCCTGGGGACGAGGCAGGTTACAGCCGAAGAAAACGCATGAGTGCAAAGCATGCAGATTTGTAATTTGTATAGCTAGAAAGATTTAACGTCATCGGTGTTGTCCTACAATATCGTTTAGAAGACGTTTTGTGACAGCTTTAAATATCGGGAAATATGAACATTTTCAAAAAATATTGTTTGTCATTTTGGCTATACATGGCATTAAGTGAAACTTGAAAGACTTTGAGCCTGATTCACATTTTCCTGTGGTATGTCAGCGGGCTAGTACTGTCGTCAGGAGCTCAATCAAATAATTCACAAGTCAATGCACGCGTCAACAGCTGTAAACAATGATAGTGCAGGCATACCGCAGGCACAATTATGTGAAAAGGTTTAAAAGAAGTGTTAGTTATGTAGAAGTGCTCTGTATAACATGCGTCTATATTTAATTGCACTTTGCACTAAATAAACACTTGAGTAAAAGCTTGCACGTCATGTGACGTGTTTAACAATGTCATTCTTTGTGACGTTACTCCGACTGTATACCGTAACCCTACGACTATAAGCCCCCACCGAATATAAGCGACCCTCCCGTGGATAAGCCCACCACATGTAACAACTCTCACCTCATTCCAAATATAAGCCCCTCCCCCGAATATAAGCCACCCGAATATAAGCCCCCCTCCCCCCGAGTATAAGTCCACCGAATTAATTTAAGCCCAGTAATCGCTGCTTAATACATATTTATTTTCCTGTTTATGACTGAATTGTTTATTACTAACACAAAAGATCGTCCATGTATAACCCCCCCCCCGTATGTAAGCCCACCCTTGTATAAGCCCACCCTTGTATAAGCCCATTAAAAAATCGCTTAACGAAAGTATATAAGCCCAGGGCTTATATAGTCGGAGGTTTACGGTATCCACACAGGGCAAGCTTGAAAAATATGCCTGACCACGGTGGGAATCCGAACCAAGAACCTTGGAATACTAGCCCAATGCTCTGCCAGGCATATTTTTCATGCTTGCCCGGTGGGATATACACTCGGAGTAACATCACAAACATATTACACCAACACAGAAAAAATTATGTCATTCTTACCTATATTAAAATATTCACATCATTAACTCATTCCAACTTATAAATGTGGGAACTGAAACCTCACTTCATCTCTAAAGCGAATTTTTACGGAGCAGCTACTGTTGGAATACCGAAGTCATACTAAACATCAAGGTAAGGCCTGTTTTCATCGAATTTCGGTCGCGTCGAATGCAATCAAACAATAGATAATGAAGCTTAATGAGTTTTATTATCTCATTATCTATTGTCTTAATTGCATTCGACGCGACAACAATTCGATGTATAAAACAGGGCTAAGTTTGTTTTTGCATTTTATATTTTTTTGATCTATCCTTATCCGAAGACGTTACCTAACCTTAATATGGTATTTTTTGTGATTTTTTTACCCTCGAAATATTGCCCTCGACATGCAATAGTCGACATTTAACCATGGACACGTTACCATGCCTCCCCTCAACTTTTTACCCTATAACCCAAGCCTCGATGTTTTACTCTCGCCCTTGATTTTTTACCTTCGTTCTCGAAATCTAACCCTCGACCAACAGATAATCTTCTGCAAACTACCCCAGAATGTTTTTCTAACTACATTACAGCGCTTTGACCTGCCTTAATTAAGCTATTTTAGGCCATAGCCTTGCCTATGTTACACAGCATAGGGAAATAAGCAACAGCCTACTTCTGCATGCCTTCCTATACTTCAGTAAAGCCGGCTTGCAGCCAACGTTAATTAACAACCTACCCAAGATTCCTTTATACTATGACGAGCGCCATAATCCGGCTTAATATATACCCTGTATTAATTATTATGTTTAGTACTTGGTTTAATATATCACGACACGCAAGCAGTATAAACAAATCACTTTATTAAATCCTTTTCTAGTTCCCTACACTCAATGCACTATATTCTTGTCCTGTATCGTCTAGCAATCCCGTTTGTTATTGTCATCCGATATCCTTTCTTGACCCTTGCATGCGACCTTTATTAATAATTAGACACCTTCGTAAACTACATTACCCTCCCCTTAAGTGAGAGCGTCCTCGATCTCAAGCTCATCTAAATTAAAGTCCTGGTAACGGTCAGGTGGTCGGCGCTGGCGGGTAGATCTCCTTAGATGTACCATGTTCGTTGCCTCAACTTCCTTATGAACTATCGGCGATTCAGCAACTCTCTGCTCTTGGGTATTCTCGCTCTTGGTTGACAATGGAGATGGTATGTCTTGCTCGTTAATGTCATCCGTCTCATTCTGTACCAGCTTGAGTCGATTGCGGTGCACACATGAGCTCCTTCCTTTTCCCGATTTTGGACGAATCACATAGTTTAAACGTCCTTGACAAGGGAGTATGACGTACGGACCAATCCACGGTTTGTGGAACTTTTTACTGCGTCCTTTTGGCAGGACAGTGCTATGTAACCATACAATGTCTCCGGTTCTCTGAATTTCTGTCTGATGAGCAGTGTTACGTGCATCATAATTTTGCTTTTGCTGGGTCTGTGCTTTCTTGATTTTCTCAGCGACAGTCGCGTGGACCTCTTTCAGCGTAAACTCAAGTTCAGCACAGTAGTCGGCAATCAATCGGGGCTTCTCCGTGCTGCCCAGTAACACGAGTGGAGTAGTAGCATATCTCCCATAAACTGCTCTAAATAGAGATACGCGTGTCGAGGAATGGACACTTGTTCGATATGCGAATAAAGCCAAGGCTAAATGTAAATACAAGTCATTGTGATGACCATTTACGTAAGACGAGATTATTGCTTTCAGTGTACGGCTGAACCGCTCCACTTGGCCGTCAGTCTGTGGGTGATATGGCGATGTCCGCAACTTATGAACGCCCAACAGCTTGAATACTTCTTTCATGAGCTCCGACTCAAATTTTCTACCTTGGTCAGTGAGGAGCTTTACAGGAACGACATGTCGAGACACTACATTGTCAATAAACGCACGAGCTACCGTCTCTGCTTTCTGATCAGCCATTGGGACCGCTTCGACCCATTTAGTGAAGTGGTCACTCATCACTAAAACATACTGGTGCCCTCGTGCTGTTATTGGAAGGGGTCATAAGATGTCCATTGCTCACCACTCCATCGGTTGAGATACTTGGATGTTCTCCATTGGGGGACGGTGAGATGCTGACGACGATTTCCTTTGGTGGCACCCGCCACACTCTGCAACCCACAGATGCACCTCGCTGGTCATTCTAGGCCAATAATACCACGGCTGCAAACGTTCGACGCAGCGATTAATACCCATGTGCCCAGAACTAGGATCATTGTGAGAGAGCCGCAACAGATCCGCACGCATTTTCCGAAAAACTACAAGAACGAGACCATCTTTCCGACCACTTGTTGATACGCGTCGATGCAAAACACCGACAATTATTTCCAGTTGTTTCCAAACTTGCCGATAACGACGAAGTTCACTATCATCTGTCCAATCACTAGGAGCTTCTTGTTCTGCCGGCGTGTTTAACTTTGCCTGATGTACAGTAGAGGCAACTGGATCATCGTGCTGTGCCTGATAAATCTCTTCCAAGGACCATTCGGTTTCAATAAGAGTGGGTCTAACCCCGATGACGATCTCTTCATCCGGTAAATGAGGATGGTTGACGACTGTAGTTGGCAGAGGAGACCGTGAAAATTTACAAGAGAGGATTTACAAACACGTCTGGATACATTTACAAACACGTCTACATATTTATCCAGCAGAGTTGGCGCAGCTGCTTCAATAAGCAGTCGCGTTTCCCCCGAGTCCCATGACAAAAGTTCCTGTGCAATGTTAACAACCTTTCCGTTCGCTTTCAAGAAATCGACGCCGAAGATACACTGGTTCTGCATATTTACTACCACAAAAGTGTGGACTACATTTAAACCGTTCACTCTTACATGAATATCAGTCATGCCAATCACGTGCAAGTTCTCTCCACCAGCTCCTCGAGCCTTCAATTTACATTCCCGTATGTGTCCTTGGACAGTATTCTTGTTTACCAGTGACACAGTTGCCCCGTATCTACGAGACAACGGTTGCAGGTGTCCACTTAATGTAGCTTTAATAAAAATTGCAGTTGGCAAGACACTGTTTATTGGAATGGCGCTGCCTTCGCGGGTTGACACCAGGACTAATAGCGGGTCAGCCCGTGGTAGTTTCCCTGGTGTCGTTGTTGTGGGGCTTGATACCGATATTGACAATCACGGGCAAAATGTCCAAGGCCACCACACACAAAGCAGTAATTCCCGATCCAGCGTTGCCCAGGGTCATTTCTTTTACGATCATTTCTTCGCTTGGGTTGTCGACATTCGTTCGCGATATGGTTAAATCCGCCGCAGTTATAACAAGCTCTACCACGACGGGGGTTCTCCGTTCGTATCGCTGCCACTTCGCTGTTGGTATTTACCGATGTCAAAAGTTGGTTAACCTTTTCGGTGAGGACCTCAACACTTTCCTTTAACTGGCGCACCACTGTTGACTCGCTGCTCGATACGTTCTCTCTCTGAACTCTCGTCAGGTTCCACATCATGATCGGAATTTGGACTTGATAGCTCGGGTGTGAAATCTAATTGTTGTGGAATTTTGACGGTCTCCTCGTATTTCGGACTCGGTCTTTGCAATAGCTCCCGTTTTAGCGCAGGAGACGATCCTTCAATAAATTGTTGTTTTAAAAGCGTATCTCTCTCGTCATTCCCGATATTAGGGATCGCTCGGCTGAGCAATGTTTCCAACCCATACGCGAAAACTTGAATGTCCTCTCCAGGCTTGCGCGCATGTCGACGAAACTTCATCATGGCAATATGTTTGCTTGTTTCATCGCCGCGCAATGCTTCCTTTATCGCTGCTGTCAAGACTTTGAAATCCTCCTTCTTGTCGTCTCCAAGACGAATATGCCGATGACTGCACACAAAGCGAATGCATCATGAAGGGAGAGTGTAGCAACATGCAGAAAGACTCCGTTCAGAACTGGTCAAAAGCTAATAGAATGAAGTTGAACGCAAAGAAAACGAAAGATATGTGGATTTGCTTTGGGAAATCTATCCCACAGCCTCTCAATCTTTATATTGGAGATGTTATGATCGAAAGAGTTAATTCATTCAAGTTACTTGGTGTTAGCTGTCAAAGTAACATGAAATGGAATTCTCACATTAAAGAAATTAACCGTAAGGGAAACAGGAGATTGTGTCATCTAAGGCAGTTCAGGAAGGCTCACCTTCCTACTGAAGTAGGATTGACAACTTACTGCAACAAAATTCGTCCACTGCTTGAATATGCCGCACCAGTTTGTGGTGGCCGACCTCACTATTTAGTGAACGACCTTGAGCGTATATTCAAAGGAGAAGCTTACGTATTATTGGTTTACCGGTCGATACACTTCCCCCGCTTAGTGAATTCCCCCTCTGAGTGAGATAATTATTTTTTGCTGATTTTATGTTTAAGACTTCATGTAAGATTGTATAAATTGGTGTATTAGACAAAACATTCAGTCGAGCATTCAGTTGATAACATAATCGAATTCTTTCAAAAATAATGCATGTAAACTGTATTTGCGCCAGGAAAATGCAGTGCTCTGGCTCTCTAATCAACACGAGATATCCGAGTCAGTCAGATAGCCGAGTCAAGTCACTTTTTATCTTATCGCCATGCCCAAATCCTTAATATACAAACTATGTCAGTCGTACTCTGACAGCACCTGCTGCTAAACGTGTAGTTTGTATAGTCAGCAAGCTGACAACAATGTTGTTACATACACACTATGTCAGCTGCAATCTAACAGCACCTGCTGCTAAACGTGTAGTTTATATAGCCAGCCAGCTGACAACAATGTTGATAAGTCGCGTTAATTAAACACTTAATCAGTATTCCAAAGTTATCATTGCTTTGTTTCTTCGGTACACTTTAAAAACACTCTGGTTAAAATTTCCTGGTTAATCTAGAAATAACGCTATTTGGGGTTAACTGAGTATTTCTGATTAAATTTCCTGGTTATTTTATGTATTTTTTAACGAAGAATGCTTTTAACCACTTTCCTGGTTAATTTTTTTAACCAGGAATTTTTAACCAAGAATTTCCTGGTTAAATTTAACAAAAAACAAAAGCAAAATGGCGTCGCATTTTGGGCGATTTTTGTATAATCAACTTGTTGTAGTTGCCTTGTTTTACCATGAATTTAACAAAAAATCACGCGAAATGGTAGAAAAAGTGAAGGGACAAAATATTATTTGATTTAGGTAAGGAGATTTGCTTGTTAATGATATTTTACTTGAAAAGTTAAGGGAGTGGGGTGTTTTTCACTCATGGAAAATTTAGGTAGCCCTAGCTACAATGAGGCAGTGCTTATATCTCCTTATATACGCCTTTTTCACTTGCTTTAAACAGCAAATCACACAAAATGTATGACAGGTTGTGCATGAAAGAATTTCATAAACCACTGATGTTGTCAGAATACTTTTCACTTGCAAGTGTTTTTGATTTTTGCTATATGGCTAATACGCTAATTTCATATACTAAAAAGTGAAATACATAGCATGATTAATATTATATACATTAGGCGTCTCAGTAAGTTACTAAAACTATACAAATGTTATGTTGCATGTGAACATTGATAATGAAATAACAAATTTATATATAGAGTGACAGAAGTTAAATATTATATTTCTGGAAAGACTAATCATTTTTAATTTCATATATTACTGTATTTGTCTGTATAGGTTGGAAACCAGACATGTGGCAGGACCATACAATTTTGACTAGAGCCGCCAGAAGATATAATATACCAGTTTTGCCTATGAAGTTATATTTATTTAAATGTTAGATGTTATGATTCAACCTGCATGCAGCATGCATGCACAAACATAAAATATTTAGTAAATTGGCGTGTCAAGAATTCTAAAACAAAGGGCATCAATTGTAAACTCAATAAATCATTATTTACCTTAATTTTTATTCATATTTAGCAACATGCCGTGTCAATTTTCGCAGTCGTTTTGTAATTGTTATTGGCCTTTCTCACATTTTAGACATTACTTGACATGGTCTGATGCAGGCCTGTTTGAATTGCAAGGTTATTTAATGTTAATTAGTGGTTTAGGACCAAGATGGGGTTTGTTCACTACAGGTTGATCAAATTACCTAATCACATTCTCTTTCTGCATGCATAGTACAGTGCATCACATTTAATTGGCACTTATTTGCCCTCTCCATCTGATAATTTTTTATCATATAATTTTTAGCACAGTTATCCTAGCTGAACTCAATTGTTCCTGATATTTATTTATTTCAAATGTAACAAGAACCAATCATATACCTTATTATAGGAAATGAACAATGCACTAATTATTAACGCGACATAAATTAAAGCGACATCAAATTAACGCGGATTGCTTCTAGGTCTTTTAAAATATAATTATATTAACGCGAATCTGATCTCCATGGTTAACAAATTAATTAAATTTAACGCGAATCGGGTAGTAACTGAGTTGAGAGGAGCACTGATGTTTTGAGTTTACGTTAATATGCTGTATTTTGATATGAGAAGAGTTAGTGTTATTTAAAACATATCAATGTCTTTTTAACTGACGACAAATAAAAATGACATACTTAAAATTAACAATGACATAAATTAGCATTAATTAAATTAACGTGAATTTTTAAAATCCGCGTTAATTAAGTGCATCGTTAATTTCCTATAATAAGGTAATCAATCCAGTCGTTTAACCCATTAACTGGCAGTATTCTACCACTCACATTTATGTAAAATCGTCTGCCGTTAAACAGAGTAAATACTAAAGTAGGGTGTATTGGGATAAATTGCCAGTAAATGCGTTAGCGCGATGATTTATAGGCACTGGATTTAACTAAAAAGCTTCAGTTTGTCAGCAGAAATTGTGGGATGAAGCGCCATGCACTCAGATCAGAACCTTTGTTTTTCTGTGTAGCCACACCTGTTGTGTACGCAGCTCGGTTCACATATAAACGCAACATGAAATTAAGTAGCAAATATTAACAAAGAAGGGTTCCCGCCAAAAGCGAGCTAGCTCGGGTACCCGAGCTGGCTCGCCTCATATAAACAGCCTCTAACTTCTCGTATGAACACAATCTCAAATTAATATAAAAACAGTATTATCATGAGGTGGGATTTTGACGGCTAATATGAACAGGCTTACGGAGTTTATACATGGGCCCAAATTAAAGGCTAGCTCTTCCATGATATAAATAAAATGACATATATGATCAAAAAAATATATGTAAACATTAAAAATTCATGACCTTGTTGATCCTGGAGTTAGTTATAAACACACCAATATCTTGACTTCAAATGACCTCGTCGTCGCCGAATTCGCTTTTCAGGCATCAATCTCGGCATCAAAAATATATATATATATATATATATATATATATATATATATATATATATATATATATATATATATATATATATATATATATATAACCACGAGATTTTTATAGCCTTTAATCACAGCGACACGCATGACAAATATCCCTTCTTGCGTCTTTCACAATGTATAAACTTTGTATTAATAATATATCGTAAAGTGATATACCCAATACTTATATAAAACATTAATTTATATCATAAACATTAAAGTAATCAAATTTCTGTCTAAGTTCCACTTGTTAAAAACCTGGTTAATTAGTTACTGTTTATGAGAATGTGTCAGATGGCTGAGACCGAGGGTAATTATTTCCTGTAGTATTTCTCTCTGGCCAAGCAGTCTAACAACTAATGAAGTTAAAGACATTTTTCGCGCTCTTTTGGCTGTTTCTCAACAAGTTTAATTTCCTTTCGTGTCGCTGGTCGCTTTTTTCCCCTGAAAAAAAATTGGATATTTTTGTTGAAAAAAAAACTAGAAGAGTAAAATCTCTCCTGTCTAAATGAAATATTTCAAGGTAAGGATTTTTTTATATTTTTTACAGTATATTTGGCTTACATATTTGTATTTGGCCTTATATTTTAATATTGTAAACTAGTCGGGCAACTTTTCAAAAAGTGTTAAGCAGTCGAGTTTAAGGATTCCCCCCCCCCCGAATTTTCTGCTAAAAAGTCTAAAATTTGTTTGTCACATATATGAGTTTTAACAATAGAAAATGTTTTCTCACTAGCTCAACTAAAATAATGCGTCCTGAGAATTTTTTTAGTGATTAACATTTTCAGCTAGGGCGAAAATATATTGAGGAGAAAATATTTTGAGTATATTTTGACACATGCGACATGCGTCTAATAGTTACCTAAATTTATGAAATTATGTTATTTCTATCAATTTGTATTGATAAATGTTAAGAAATTATTGTATTTAAAAATATTTTTATAAATGCTGTTGTCAATTAAAACTGCTAAAAGTATTTTCTTTTTTAAAGGTTTTGAAGACCAACCAGGAATCGGATTGATGTTATTTAACGAGAGTGTCCTGGTTAAATTAGCCAGACTATGTTAGGTGGATTTTTAACTTGGAACTCTGGTTAAAACCTGGTTATATTAACCAGGAGAAGTGTTAGATATATAACCATAAATCCTGGTTACATCCAACCAGGAATCTGGTTAATTTCATTTAACCAGAAATCTGGTTAATATTATTCAACCAGAGCGTCCTGGTTAAATTAACCAGACATTGTTAGGTGGATTTTTAACTCGGAATCTGGTTAAAATTTAACCCCTTCTGGTTAAAATTAACCAGAGTGTTTTTAGAGTGTACTAAAGCTCCATGCCAAAAACCTTCCGTAAATAGAACATGAAGTTGTACAGTTTGATCAATTTGATATCTTCATGCAT